TCTTTCCCTCGCGTGAGCGATTGACTTATGCCGCCCCTATCTCTCACAACCGCCCATGGGTTCGGTCCAGATGGTTCAAGGGAAAGGGCGTACTGTGCGTGTTTTTCGCGCGTTGCGTGCGGGTGCGCGGAATAGCAACCGGTTTTTAGCTGCGCAGACCTGGTGCTGCAATTGCGCGACGCGTTCATCGCACGCGTTGCGGTCTTCCCTCCTTTCCAAAGGTACCGGACGTTTTATTAGGAGCCGGGCCGCTGTGCTCTTTAAGCTGATGGCTCCAGATACCCCTTCTAACCGAAACCCCCATAAAAACTCTTCTCGGAAATGACACTTTCCTGCCTTGACCCTTAGTTAGATAACTTCTTGATGGCTTTAGATACCTCCCATAGACCAATGCCCCTAAAAAAATACTTAGATAACTTCTTAAACAGCTCCTGAAAGGGGATACGGCAACCACCGTATCCTAGTCTCAACTTTGAAGGTAAATGTTTTAATTCAAACGAAACCTTTTTCAATCGTTTTTAAAAATCATTTTTGGCCGTTGCTGACCGCGCTCTATTCGAATCCGGAGAGAGCTCTGGCTCCTTTCCCCTTCGAGTTGAATTCGCGACCGGACAGACGGACGGACAGACACCACAGCAAAATTATCATAGTTGCTTATTTAATCTACTACACTGGTCCGCATAATTATGGAGCCACCCACATTTTTCCGAAAATCTCAATTTCTGGCGGCTTTCATGAAACACTTTCTATTAGTGACAGAAGCCGTATACATCACAACCTTACACAAAAAGTCGGTTTTTTGATTCGGGGACACAAAAATTTTTAACGAAAACTTTCGCCTATAACGCTCTTTGGAAAACCGCATAATTATGGGAGCCACGCTGGAAATTTTTTATAAAATATGGAAAATCGATAACAAATTGCTGAAAACAATTCCAACAATCGGTGGCCGATTCCTTTACTTGTACCAACTGGAAAAGACGGCTGTCGATACGCAGATACGGCTGTCGATACGCAGATAGCGATTTGTCGATGCGACAGGTCCTCTGTCAATTTCGCATCAATTTGACCCTTTTTAAAGTCAGATAGGGCTTTCCCGCGTGCCATCCAGCAAAACAATAATCCATTAGTTACGCTAAAATAGAAAACAGTGTGGTTGTGTGGATAACGAAAAAAAGAAAAAGTGAAGCACCCGAGTGGCTCCATAATTATGCGGTTTTTCCAAAGAGCGTTTTAGGCGAAAGTTTTCGTTAAAATTTTTTGTGTCCTCGAATCAAAAAAAGGGACTTTTTGTGTAAAATTGTGATGGTATACGGCTTCTGTCACTAATAGAAAGTGTTTCATGAAAGCCGCCAGAAATTGAGATTTTCGGAAAAATGTGGGTGGCTCCATAATTATGCGGACCAGTGTATTTGGTCGACGACCGAAGTCTAATTATGGACTGGGGAGGCCTACTTCTCTAGCGGTTTTTAAAGCTGGTTTTACAACTTTCGGGAGCGGGATTTTAAATTTGCATAATTTATGCTGGGGACGAGGTGGGGTTTTGGGGAAATCTTGATTTCGCCAAAAACCATTTCGATGGTATTCAACGAGTCGGTTTTCGGCAAAATGGTTCCCATGGGAAGTTGGTTTTCGGCATGATCTTCAGAATCCTTTTTGGCATTGGTGCTGTCTGTACGGCCGCTTTCTACGTACGGCTGTTTTCCACGTACGTACGAGCGGATTTCCACCTGATATTTCGCAGAAGGGAAAAATGCGGTTTGCTCCTTCATTTAGCGATTTTACAAGCAAAAATGAAACTCCTTAAGAAAATGTCTTAGGCGACGAGGTCATGCTGACTTACTGTACTTGAAGGCAATGCCTCTCCTGGAAAAAAACAGTAACAGCCAAAATTGGCTGAACGAAAGCCATAGATGACGTAGCATCGAGCAGTTGTATCCCGGCTGCCAACGTTTTTCGACTGCCTGCAGACATGCGGTGCTTTGGAAAAAAGTCTGAAACGAATTAAAAGTGACTTTGTATCCATTTCGCTTTTTGAACGATATAGCTGGTCACCAAGCCGAAACGTGAATTTGTTGAAAAGATACGAATTTTTGAGGCAGCTATGTATACAGGCCCGTACGGGGGCCGAGATTTCGGCGGGGGCGGAGCACACAAAAATTTTCACGACGACTCCCCCGTCACCACTTTCAGACCAAGATTTTCCTCAGATTCGTTGTCTGCCGCTGATTTCAGACCGCAGACCAAAATTGTTATTGAACAAAATAGCAAACTTGAAGCACTAATCAAAAAAGAGCGCCGCAGGCGGAAAATTTTGGAAAAATAGGTTTCCCTAAAGTAAAATCTTTTAAAAATAGTAATAAACAACCAGAAAACTTTTTGAGAAAAAAATCATAAAGGTTCCTCTACAAGAGTCCACTCTTTCCCCACAGCCGAAGGGTCTGAAAGTCTTCGGTATCCTACTATATATAAAAAAATAGTGTCTGTGTGTGTGTGTGTGTGTGCATTTGAATGCGACTTCCGTCTGGGTGTACCAGCAAAAGCAGCTCTGGGGAGGGAGTTTGAGGTATGTATCATACCTCTTTGGGTGCGTAATGTTCTTGCGATGACTGCACACATGCAAAATTCCGGAAAAAGTGGTATTTTCGATATTAAAAATAGGTTTTTGTAAAAATATCGGGTCTCCCTCTTTGTTAGGGATCAATTAGCATGCGCCGGAAGGGAGGAAAGCCTATATAAAGGGACCGAAGGCGTTTTTTTCATTTGTGGCGTTGTGGTTAGAGTGAGGGAGCGGCAGGCCTCCTCAGGCTTTCTTGGGCCGAATTGCATTTCCGCGCCTGCCGACGCCTGGCGGAAGCCTAAGGATTTACGCAAGCTTTTTATGCAATGCGCAAAAACATGTTAATCTTGTTACTGCATCTAAAACGTTGGTATATTTTGCCGCAATAAGAAATTACAAGGATGCCGAAGGTGGGTAACATATAGGCAAGATCTCAGGAGAGGCAATTGCATCCCCCGCCCGTTTGATCCGACTCTTGACTTTTGTGTATCCGCGTGCTATTAACGTATCGTGCCGTAAGGTTTATCAAAAACAGTATCCTAACTTTGTAGAATATTCTTGGACCCAATACAGCTCTTCGACCCCGCGGAAGTTTAAAAAAATTCCTTATTTGTTCGGCAAAACTTCGAATATTCTACGACTTTACATAAAATTTCCAGATAAAGCCTGACTAATTAGAGGCCAGGCGTACTTTGCATAGCCCAGGCTCAGCCTAGGCGATGCAAATCAAAAAAGCCTGAGGAAGCCTAGGCAAGCCTAGGCTTTAGCCTAGGCCTCCCTCACTCTAGTTGTGGTTCGAGAAAATTATTCAAGTTGTCAATTCTCATTGGATAAGCCGGGGCCAGGGTTGAAAAGTCGCGAAGCGGCTTTTCAACCCTGGTTTTTGCTATTTTTGCCGGGATTTTGCACGCCATTCGATTGAGCGTCGAAAAATATCCTTATAAGTTGTAATTTGAGCCTAGAATAATGTAAAATAAGCTCAAAATGTTTCCAAAAATTGACACACTCCCGAGAAAACTGCTATGAAAGAAAAAAATTGGAACACTGGGTTTCTTGGCAGTTTAAATCGTCTTTTAAAAAACTAATAAACAGCGCCGCATGCTGAAAAATTTTTATGAAAAAATCATAAAGGTCCCGACTGATGTACTTTTCGGACCTCGCCCGATTTCGGGGAGGGGGGGGGAGTGGGGCACCGTGCCACCAGTGCACCTCGTAAGGGCCCCCTCATAAGGGCCTGTATGTATATATTGGCTAAAGGGTCTACCTTCATCCACTTTCCTGCCTGCACTCCAACTCAATTTTTAGCGCCCCTGAGCCTCATCCGGAAAACATACGGAAGCTCTACACTCGTAAATGAAATCCAGAAGTTTCGTGGTAAGATCTCCTCGTGTCTCGGTGGGCAGATAGCGCTCTGCTAGCAAGAGCTGGGTCTTTCGATAATCAGCCTGATGGCATCTTTCCAAAATCGATTCGCCAAGGAAGAGGAAGGTGCTGAAAAAGCACGGCGGCCCCGTTTACCGTGCGTGAACAAATCATACCGTTTTTGTGTATCATACGCCGTAGATTGATCCACATAGTTCTTACCCATGAAAGCTCGGCGTAGTTTTTCTGACAAAGACACCACAAGTACAGCCGAGAATATTGGCGCCTGGCATTCTTGCCAGAGCCCGTAACAGCTAGGATCGCTAAACATCATAGTTATGATATTCCGTAGAAATAATCACTTATAGAAGGCACAACATACAAGACGGGCCAGTTTCTGGTCACGCAAATTTTCTAGCCCATTCTGAAATTGAATTCTGACCAACCCAGCCCCACTTGACCTACATATTCCAAGAGCTCGATAAATATTTCGTTGAGCAAGCATAATATATCATGGCCCTGCGGAGCAAGTGAGTATTTGATCTAAATCATGTTTATTTGAAGTTCAAAGGTGCAAATATTTTGCATTGGCGAAGCAATGGAAGTGTTTGGACGATGCGGTTCTCAAAAGCTTAAATTCTTTCGTAATGTTCGGAAAGGGCTGAATATGTCTTTCATATGAGATTTCGTGTTTACCTGCTCCGCTGGATACTGCGACCTACCGTTTTTTTGCATTCAGCTCCGCCTTCGTCGCATCGTCCATCACCAACCAAAGCTCCAAGCTCAACATCTACTAGATTTTTTAAGGAAAAGGGAAAAGCCATCAACAAGGGATGCTGGAATGGAACTTACCTTGTACTGTCGAAGGTAATATCTCCCGCCGATTGCGCTGGAGGTTCCCGCTAAAATGCGTTTCACCCGCACCAAGAAACCATACTTCCCACATCTGCAAAGCTTGCAAAAGTAATATTTGAATTGTTGTGCCCATCTTTTTAGAGCTTCCCACGGCGTTTCCAGACACCCGCGCAGCTTGTCGAAGATTAGCAAAAAAACGGAACTAGTTTCTGGAAGAACTTTAGCTGAGAACGGTGAAAAATGTACCATTAAACTCTACGAACCCGTAGCGCTCCACGAATCCGGGGTTTGGTTGATGTGCCGCTACATGTGGCAACCGACCAACAAAACCACTCTGAACAGAAAAAGCTCGCTCTTTCGAACTGATAATATCGCAGACCTTCTTCTCGAGGCATTCCAAAAGTGAGCAGAGCTCTGCATAATTGCGTTGGACCGTTTTATTGTATTCCTCGAGATCAGTGTCCGTCCAATGTCGTCCGTCTCGTGCTCTGAACAAATTCGAACCTCGGTCTCGAATTTACGTTTTGCGCTGCTGCTAGATTTCATGATCGTGAAAAGAAAAACTGCTACTTTCGCAGAAGAAATAGGGTCGATGCGGGGTACGGAAAAACAAAATCGAAAACAAACCCGCTGCAGCGACAGATGAAGACGCATTGTGCCAAAAGACAGAACAGCCCCAAAACTAGGGGTAAGTTCTCGATCACCGGTAGGAGCATTAAGTTCAGCACCGCGATAAACGCCGACCATATCCATAAGTGAATTGACCCGACCCATACATCCAGGACCCAAAAAATTAACGCCAGGCAGCCCAAATACAATTCAAACCAGTCGAGCATTTCGCGGCGACTATGCCTAAAATGAGTTATGCGGCTGATATGAGGAATAAAGGTTTTAAACATCGGACCGGGTTAAAAACCAGCTTCGCGGCTTTTCCACCCTGGCCACGCCCAGGACCAGTTGTAGTATGGTAGTCTTGACTTTGGATAGTTTATCCCGAATCCACCATCAAAAAATGAAAAGAATTTCCTTCGGCGCTTTAAATATGCCTAACCAAATCCGGCCGATTTCGCGCCTCCTAACAAAAGGGAAGTTCCTGAACCTTTTTAGCTGCGCACGTTGTTCTTGCGAACAATATCTAATTGTTCTTACAAGATCTCTAATAAAGCCGCCTACTCAGGGTTAGTGAAAAACGAAGCCGAGGATGAGGGATGTTTTGTGCGCGACTTTGCATGCGGCACGATTGAAGCTCGCAACGCTGGGTTTCAACGCTAGCGCACAAAAAAAATGTACAGCTAGCACCGGCTAGCGCTTTTTTGGCAAAGCTGCCTTATCGCGCTCTAGCCCAGCCACCAACCTCCCGCCGACGGTGGCCTTGGAAATCCTTTCGATAACAGTCCTTCAGTGTTTCCGATAGCGATTCAGCTGCGGAGAATTTCAAAGAAACAATTTGTGACAGTTGTTTCGGGATATTATTGCGGGTTAAACAACCCTGCCCACTTATTTAAAAAATTCCTGGAACACCACCCATCTGACTACGGGGGAGCCCGAATAAACCCGGACTCAGAATTGGCTGAAAATTTGCACAGAGGTAGAATCGACCACGCTGATAATCACCTTGTTGTCCAAATTTGCTACTGATCTTTAAGACTAGAAATATTAATATTTTAGTGTCGATTGAGGTCCCCGAGAAGTGTTTTGCCATGATGCCGTTTCTTTTTTATTTTAAAGTTCTAATTTATTTTAAGTAACCTAGCTGATAGAGAATTTTTTCTGATTCAAATGGTATATCTCTCTAAGGCTAAAAAGAGTCTTTTCAAAAAAAGGGCTTTTGGTTTTCGCAAAAAGAGATGAATTCTCGTGGCAACAAAAAGTGCTAAATTCCTTTCCAACTCAGAAAAATTCCACAAAATGAGGAACAACAAAGAGATGCTGGCTAATTAAAATCTTAATAAATGGGGGCTGTTCTAGATTATAGGTCAGGGCTACAGGTTAATTTGAAGAAAGTGTAAATAGATCATAATAGAGAAATTATTTGCAACGGAAAAGGCTAAAAACTTGATCTGTCCTTTTTAATAAGGTACCAGCGACTTTTGGTTGATGCCACATTTTGTGGCATTTTGCAGAGTGTGAAGGGAATTTAGCACTTTTTGTTGCCACGAGAATTCATCTCTTTTTGCGAAAACCAGAAGCCCTTTTTTGAAAAATACTCTTTTAACCTTAGAGAGAATTTAGCCCTTTTTGTCTCAATCTTGTTGTTAAGATAATAAAATCTTATTTATACAGATAAAACCTTGTACGCAATACTTCAAAAAAAGTTGCCTACGGCGCTTTGTAACGGCACTAGAAACCATAAGGATGCATGGGGGTCAATCGGCAAAAAAAACCCTAAACCCCCTAAACCCCCCTAAACCCCACTCCGAACCCCCTGCCCAACCCCCCTACCAACCCGCCCTAGGTGGGGGGGTTCGGGAGGGCTAGGATCCTTGTTATTTTTAGGGGCTATCATATCGCTTTATCGCAGTCTGTGTCAATTTGGTGTTCACTGTAAATCAGGATTGCAAGTTTCCCTGCAAAAACACGCAAGATTCAACTTTATTCACATTTGTTTTTGGAGAAGTTGGAGTTATGAACTATTTTATTTTTATTTATTTATTCTCACACAAGGTTAACAAAGTCAACGCTTACAGTATGAGGGTCGCTACTATGTCGAGATCGGGTCCGATTTAGGCAATGGTTGTGGCGGAACGGGTCGGATAACAGCCGATCCAAGCCTCTCCATCTGCCAGAAGGCTTTTGTTTCATCAATTGGTTTTGTTCTTAGGCCGTCATAGTCGCTAGCGGAAGGTCCATCGATATTTAGGGGCGCTATAACCCACACCACATGGTCTCGCGAGTTTTCCTGCACATCTGGCAACAGTTTCCTGAATTGAGCGCAGCACTCCGTTGTTGGGTAGAAAAATCGGTGTGGGGCTTTTTCGCTTCGTTCAATGTACATTGCCGTAAGTTCCTTGTCATCTTTACGGTCAAGTAATATCGTAGGTTTGTCGGCTAAAAATGTCTTTTAGGCAACATCGTGATAATTTTCTAAAGCTCTTTGAAGTAAGCGACTCCTAAGCTCTTTCTAAGCTCTCGACACACCTTCAATCCGAGCTTTCACGTCGTCCCAACCATCCTTTTCAAACTCAGTCAATTTCAAGTCTTGGTTTCCGTCATTGCCGCAGCAACCTCGTTCCAGATCATGGTTCGCCGGTCGCTTTGACGTGCGCTCGATGCTAAGGTTGGGTATATAGGCCTTAGCAAGCATCGGTAAATGATGGTAACTCACTACCTAGCCGTAATTATTTTAACTCTACCAGCTGCGAAAATTCTCGAAAACTTCTCCATAACCCACCAGAAATACCATCTGGGCTTTTTGTCGGGATAGGTTCGCAAGCAACAGGGGCGTACGCGTCTGATCATCTTGTCCCAGCCATCGACACCGCATGTATTAGGAACTGTAGACGTATTTTTACAAATAACTCAGCTCTCAGGCAAAAAAAAACTTACACAACAACGTCCACAACATTGGCATGAACCTAAGAAAAAACATTCGGGGGCTAAAGAACAACAAACCCGAAGACTAGCAAAAAGGTGAATGGTGGTGGTAGAAAGGGTTTGTACTCGTATTCCACCATTTTCTTATACCAGACACATCGCCAGTGTTCTGCCCTGGTCACCGTGTCAAATTCGTTACTGAAATTTAGGGCATTTTGCAATTGATATGATTAATGCAACCGATTTATTAAAGATAAAGTCTTTTAAGATTTTTAAGGTTAAAATACCTTAACACGGCCGTTAAAATGTTGATCAACACGACCGAGGCGGTCATTGTATAAACAAACATAATAACTGGCATCAACCAGCCTTGTGATGCGCACTAAAATAGGTTTTTAGCAGAAAGTGCTTGTTCCAAACCTGCCAGTCGTCATATTCGTAAACCCACACACTCACTGGCACCACGCAATGGTTTCCTTAAAAACTTTGGGGTATACCGCGTTTCCATTTACCATTTTTATGTCGATCTTCCAGTTCACCAAACGTTTCCCAGGCGCCATTTCTAAAAACTGATGTTATGGGCATACAAAGGATACAAATCACTTGAAGAATTGGAACGGCCAACTGTCGAACGGATCATCGCCCATGAGGATATACTAAAGGTTAGGATAGAACTAGAAGAAGGGGAAATGCAACCTGCGAAACAGCATACGTTATCCAGAGCGCACCCAAGATCACGGCAACGTACGTAATCACTCGGGTCTTGAATTTCAGGAATGTAGATAGCTTTGGTTAATGTTACCGTATTTTTAATCGAGAAGATAATAGAGCTAAACGTGGAGAAGAAGCTGAAGACACGAAGGAAGAGTATGCAAGAAAGGATGAAGCAGATGAAGAATAGGATGTCGCTCATTACAAGCGCCCTGAAACGGATATATGTTTCGTCTGATGCTTTTGAGGAATTGACTTTATTTAATATCGCCCGTTAAACCTACATGTTCCCGACGAGTTTCCATGATGTCACAGTTTGTCCGGTGCTGAACATAGACATTTTTAAAATAAGAAATACCACCAATCCCAAAAAAAGCACTTCCTTCTAGCCGCTCGGAGAAGTGTCGGATCCTACTATATATAAAAAAAAATAGTGTCTGTGTGTCTGTGTGTGCCACTTTGCATCCACTTCCGACTGTCTGTCCGGAGGATATCTCCGTACGGGATGAATTTTAAGGTATGTATGATACGTCATTAAGTGCGTAATGGCCCGGAGATGACTGCACGCAGATTAGATTCAAGCAAATCACCTATTTTCGACATTAAATTTAACTTTTTGTGAAAACCTCTTTGTTAGGGATAATTAGCATAGACCGGAAATTGGGATTCGACTATATAAATGGACAGGAGACGTTGTTTTTCATTTTTTTTTGTCATAAGAATTTAGGACAATTATGCAAATTCAAGGATAAAATGGGGTCAGACGGGGCCAGGGTTGAAAAGTCGCGAAGCGACTTTTCAGCCCTGGTTCAGATGAGTTAGGTATCTATCGAAAGCCCGCGAAAATGCGAGAAAACAAACGCTTTTCGTTTTTGAAATTAAGCATTTTATTTTTAGTATCTATGCCCAAAAACCACGACGATTGTGTGACATCTGCATGTTAACTGCGGCTTCCCACCCGAAAATTAAACGGATTTTGAAGAAAACTGTCTTCTCGGGCGAAGGGTCAAACATTTAGAAAGCTAGAAGCGTTTTTTTCGCTTTTTGAATGGCTTTCGAATAGTGTCCCGAATCCAGCTTTCTCTGGACCGCTAGAGGCTTGCATTTTTGGGACACCCAGTAGAGCCAGTACGTTTGTTTCTGGACAGAGAATGAAGTAGACATTTTCGCTACCCGTTGATCGCTGTCGCAAACGTTGCGCTGAACAGTGGTGGAGTCGTGTAGGTTATCGCGTCGGGCGAGAGCGTGGTAGAGTTGTTTTCAGGTGCACTTAACAAACTTTTCGTTCGGATTACTGGAATTTCTGTACCATTCGAGGAAAAAAAATGTGCTAATAGATACCTAACGTTTTTCACTTCCTCCAGCAATTCCCCGCTAGTCAAGATGATGGCTGCCATGACGGACATCAAGAAATTAACGAACGCTAGTGAAGATATGACAAGGTAGGACCGTTGCTTTTTCCATAGAAAGCCCAAATAGTTTCTGCTGAACGTCGCTCTCTTCTGAAAATTTTGGTTGGCATGACAGGGTGTCCCAATAAAAAACCCCTCTAACTCCACGGAGAAGTATCGGATCGGACCGGTAGTTACACCATTCGAAAGCTCCTCAAATGACGAGTTTGCGACAATTTTCAAATACAGGGTGTCCCAAAAAAAACGAACCATCTGGCATTTCGCCGTGTTACATCCAATCGGCCCCAAATTTGGAACAGAGGTGTATCAGAACCTAAATAACAACAATCCTGACTTTTAGCTTCGTAGCTCTAGTAGATCTCGAGTTATAACAAAAATCAACGTTATTTTCGATTTTTCATTGGGTTCCCGTGGAATTAGACTCCCTAAACATTAAGTGAAAATGAGTAGGTAGACCTTCTTTACCTTAGGAATTTTTTCCGGATCAAAATTAATCAAAAAAAAACGTCAATTTAAGCGATTTTTACAACGCCAAATTACCCCCGATCATAAGCGAAATTTGGGATTCGCAGCCGGAATGGGATGCAAATCGATGCAAAGTCAAAAAAGATAGCCGAAAAAACTGTTTAGAATTGCGGTAAAAACAGTATTTTTGTTATAACTCGAGAACGACTGTAGCTACGGGGCTAAAAGTCAGGATTGTTGTTATTTAGGGTATGATACACCTCTGGTCCAATTTTGGAACCAATCCGTTGTAATATGGGGGAATGCCAGATGGTTCGTTTTTTTTGTGACATTCTGTACATGTTTTGATTTAATACAAGCCGTTTTGTACGAGAAATTTACCACAATTTCTCCAAGCAAAATGGCCGGAAGCAGCCGTTAGATGCAGTGGCCGGTCTTTCATGTTTTATATACGTAATAAAATGGTTTTTTTTAAATAACAAATCGTTTTGAAGATTGATGAAAACTGGGGTGCAAGGTTTCAACTGCTTTCAAGGGCTTTCGAATGGCGTAACCAACATTCCGATCGTATTCTTTCACGTGGAGTTAGAGGGGAGTGTTTTTTAATTGGGACACCCTATAGTTTTGGTCTTTCTTACATTCACCAAACGGATCCGATAGTGTGTCTGCAGAAATTCGTAGCTAATTTCGAGAAAATAGCTGATTTGACACCTAAAAGATAGGGTGGCGTGCTCATTTTAGAGGATCTTCGCCCACCATAAAATAATCGTCCCCCAGAAGCGTTTGTTCGCGCCATTAGTGTCTGCCTTTCTGGCCTCCTTGTCGTGGGAGATATGCAAAAATTGCCCATAGAAATAGAGATACCCCATGTAAAACATCTGAAAAAAGCGGTCCCACCCTCGACGAAATCAAACCGTATGCAGTACATATTTATACGTGGGCGACATTGCGAACATGCTAAGCCGGAACCATCCATGTTTTAAATTCGACCACAATTTGGGTAAAATCTTCGTCTCGGGCTTCTCCTCTGTAGCCGGGTGGTATGTTTGCAAAGTCTGCTACCGACTTACTATGTTTAAATTGGATGCCGAGTTTCCAAAAGAACACAAAAATCCACAGGCAGCTGAACGAAAGCACGATCTGGCGCAACGTCGAGCAGCTGTACCCAGGTCGCCAGCGATTTTCGACGGCTTGTAAGCAGACGGAGCTTTGGAAAAAGCTCTAAAGTTAGCGTCAAAGGGGTACCGAAGTGTCAAAAATAAGCTCATAATCTGGGAAATATTTTGTTTTTACAAAGAAATTGGGCAAAAGCAATTATGCGCAAAAATCGAAACAAGGAGAACTCTCGGCCGGCTCGAGCTCTCAGAACCAACTTTTTTCGGTGCAAGCCTAATTTTTGGTAGATAGAGCATGCATTTTCTTTTCTCGTTCTTAACTGATTGACCCAGATTGCCAAATTTTCGACTTTTTCAAACATTTTCTGACGGTTTTGGAAAATTTTTCTGCGTTAATTATGTAGGATCAGTTCTTAACAATACTAAAAACAATCTAAAAATACATGTAATCATGTCAACCGGGGCCGCCAGGAAAAAAATGGTTTCTCCCCTTTCCCCTTCCCCGCGAATTCTAAAGAACCACCAACCGATGCTTTACATTCGTAGATGAAATCCAGTAATTTTGTCGTGAGATCGCCCCTCCTCTCATAGGCCATATAGCGCTCTGACAGCAACAGCTGCGTCTTGCGATAATCCAGCTGATGGCAACTCTCCAGAATCGATTCGCTCAGGAATAAGAAACTCCTGAAAGTTTTTGCAGCTAGATCATCGGGTTTTCAATAAAGAGTGCTTCTGAGTATTTCCTACCGTTTTTGCTCATCATACGCGTTCGCTTGTTCGACATAATTTCTATTCATGAAATATCTCCTCAAATATTCAGACAACGACACGACGAGGACTGCCGAAAATATTGGTCGCTTGCATTCCTGCCAGAGGGCGTAGCAATTTGGGTCGCTGCAACGACGGTGCTTTTCTGAAGCAAAAAACTGACTTGTAGAGTGCGCAGCACAACAGGCGGGCCAGATTACGGTCGGCCAAATTTTCGAGCCCATTCTGAAATTGTGCATGCATAAAGCCAACCAAACACTCACGTATTCCAAGTGCTCCAGGAAAACTTCTTCGTTGAGGAACTTGAGGATTTTCACGCCTTTAGGCGATTTTTTGAACTTTGGAGTTTGGGTTTGGGTTTGGAGTAAGTGTGTCGTTTCTTGCCGGGTGGCCGAATTTTGACCAAGAGACTCCATTTGCATGGATTCGCCGCCATCTTTTTCGCTCTTTTCTT